AAAAGGATTAAAAGAATTTAGAAAAACAGTAAGACACACAATGTTAAAAAAGGAATGCAAGAAACACCCAATCAGAAGGCCTGCCGGAAAAGCCAGGTTTTAATGGCTTTGCGAAAGGCCATGAAAGTGGGGAGGGCCCGGATCTCTGGGGGCAGCTCATTCCATATGGCCGGAGCGGCAACAGAGAAGGCCCTACTCCTAGGCATCGCCAGCCGGCATTGTCCTGGTGAAGGCACCCGGAGAAGGCCCATCCTGTGAGATCTTACACACTATCTGATGGTATTTTGTCATGTTGCGCAATTGCATAGAACCAAGAGAGCAAACCCCATTCCCCTCTAACACTGATGATGTTATCTAGTTGGGTCATGAAATGTCTGCAGGAAAACCCGTCTGCAGAAAAAGCTCACTCAGGGAGCCCCAAAAGACCCCGGACCACAACCGCAATTTATCTCAAGAACTCGAGACGTTTGACCTCATCCTGACACCAGAATTATGCCTGCAGGTTCAGGCCATTCTTTCCAAACTGTCTCCCTCCCTCCAAGTGTCTTGGACCACAATCCCCATCAGCCCCAACCAGATTGTCGGAGAACTGAGTGCGTACCACAACAGTGGTGGCGACTGATCTACAACCTCCAGTGTGCGGAAAGGATAAATTGTGTATGTTGGGAATGGTATGTTGGGGAGAAGACAGAAGGCAGAGAAAATAAAATAGAATCCGGAAAAGAAACAGGAAGAAAAAAAGGCAGATGGAGATATCAGTAACCTTTGGATGGGCAGCTGTCCTACTTTAAGGCTTCCTGGGAGGACAAAATGAAAGTCCTTGGGTCTCCCCCCTCACCAAACCCCCCACCCCACCCCTTTCTGGTCACAGCGACCCCCCAACCCTGTGGCCGAGTTCAATACAGTAAAGATGAAAGAAGACAGAAATACAAAGAACAGCCACAGCCATTCATGCTGTTGGGGTGGGAAAAAAGAACGAACAGAAAGAAAAAGGAAGAAAGAAAGAAAGAAAGAAAGAAAGAAAGAAAGAAAGAAAGAAAGAAAGAAAGAAAGAAAGAAAGAAAGAAAGAAAGAAAACCAAAAGGAAGGAAGGAAAGAAAATAACGATAAAAGAAAACCACCTCATTCTTTTTTCTTTTTTTAAAAAAAGAGCAAAGTTTTCATATTTTATTGCCAGCCAGGATTGGTGCAATTCCTGGTGCAACCATGAAGGGAGACAATCCATTAAACTAAAACCAGCACTAGAAAAAGCTCCCGGTGGCATGATTGTGCCCCCGCCCCCAATGCCCTCCGTCATACTTTCTTTCTGGGTTGGGGGAAGGGAGGAGGGGAAATGGTGTGACAGTGAATTATGGGATAGGGAAGAAGGAGGAGCAAGGGGGAATGGTCTCCCTCAAAAAAAAACCACAGTCACGAAGTCATCCGGTGTGTTTTTCCTCCCGTTCCATCCAACCCCGAGCCGCAGCATTTGACGCTCGCAAACCCACATCTCTTTGTGGCGGAACGTCCATCCCCTGCCAACCAATCCCGGTTATCGGACTTTCAATGCCAGGGAGCCACTTTTTCCTCACTAAGGAAGACGCCATGTTTTCAAGTTGGGTAAGGAGAGAGGTGGTATTCTACCAGTTGGGATCGGTTCGCCCGGTTGGCATCAGTTGGGACCGGTTCGATAGCGGACATCGCGGGTGGCCCCGCTCCCTCGCCCCGGATCTACGGCATCCCATTTAGGCCCCTCTTCCGCCAAAAGTCCCTGCACGGAAGGCACCCGTACTCACATTTGCGAACCGCTAGGGAAGGTAAGTCAAAACCACCCCTGGGTAAGGGGGGCAGCCTTAAGAGAGAGTCAACAGGCAGACTGGCGAATAGCCGATTGTTCCCGCTCTAACCCTTTGAGCCCAGCCTCCACTCCTCGAAACGCACCCCCAAGGACACTTGCGTTGTGTCCTGCGATAAACCAGGCCCAGCCGCACAAAAACCTCCCCACCCTCCTCTCTTTTGTAGCCGGAAATGCTCCTGGTGAGCCCGCAGCCGGAAAAAGTTAGCTCCTCGCTTAACTCCTCCGGGTCAAAAGCCATTGAAACGCAGGCAGTGTCCGGGTTCGCTCTCCCCGATGCCCTACCCCGGCCGCCATTCCACACCTTGTCCCCCAGCTGTTGCGTCTCCTGCCTGACCGTGATCCCTTCAGAGAATTCTGGGTAAGAAAAGGGACACCTACTAGACTGCAGCGTGCGCTCCCTGACCTCCGATGTCGGGGCTCCAAGGCCCAAGGTTGAGCGAGCCGCCAACTGGAAGACGTATTCCGTGTTGGGGTTGAGTTCTTTCACCAGGAAGAAAGTCACGGGGTCAAACGTCTTCAGGAACTGCAGAGCGAGTGCGAGTGTCGGTGAGCCCGAACCAGCGCCAGAAGCAAAGGACAGCGGTAGTTTAGTTTAGTTTACTTGATTTATTTATTTATTTTATTTATAAAATTTATATGCCGCCCAATCCTGAAGGACTCCGGGTGGCTTACAAAAAAGAGCAAAAGATTGAGAGAGAGAGAAAAAAGAACGGTTTAAAATCACAACACCACATACATTCATTCTAATCGGGGCTGNTTCCTTCCTTCCTTCTTTTTTTCTCTCCCTCCTGATTCATATTCACCTTCCCGTCTTCAGCTAGGTTCCCCTTGAAAGAGGCTTAACAACGAGTTCTACAGGTAGTCTTCGACTTACGACCGCAACTGAGAGCAAAATTTCCATCATTAAGCAAGGTGGTTGTTAAGGTGGGAGTTGCGTTCTGATTTTACAAACTTTTCTCTCCGTGATTAAGTGAAATACTGCAGTTGTTAAGTTAATCATCACATGGTCGTTAAGCGAATCCAGCTCCCCCCCCACCTGCCATTCAGGTCAGGAGCTGGCTGGGAAAATTTGCAAACGGTTTCCCCGTGACCCAGGGACGCTGCAGCCATCGTAAATACATTCGCCAAGCAGCCTAATTTTGATCACATCAACCTGGGAATGCTGCAACTGTCATAAGAGGATGGGTCTTCTGTCACTTTTTTTCCTCCAGTGGCGTTGTAACTTTGACTGGTTGCTAAAGGAATGGTCGTAAATCGAGGACTGTCTGTAATTTAGAGGCTTATGATTCCTAGCAGGCTTTACAGCCGATAACATCTTGATAAAATCTGGTTAATAAGATAAGGAAAAACTTCTCTTTAATTTTAGGCGGCTCAAGGAAATTCTCATCTGGGCCCCCTGGTTTCTTTTAGGACAATATTCTCCAAACTTGGCAACTTTTAAGACTTGTGGACTTCAATTCCCAGAATTTCCCAGTCTTGGTTAGCTGAGGAAGTCTGGGAGTCGAAAGGGACCTTGGAGGTCTTCTAGTCCAACCCCGGGCCGCCCTCCACAAGTCTTGAACTCGCCACATTTGGAGATCCTTGGTTTAGAAGATTTGTGTTTAGGGGAAGGAAGAGTTGATGCCCAAGCTGCCATCGCTTTAAAACAATTCACCAACTGTTGTGAAATTCACACACATCTCAATTTCTTAACTAGCCCTCCAATAAACGACAGACAATGAAAAGCAACAGAGCAGTTTGGAACGCAAAAAAAAATAAAAATAAAAATCAAGCAATAATAAAAACCATAAGGTCGGGTTTAAAATAAAATTAAAATAAGGGAAATAACCGTAATAATAATAATGATAATAGTAATAATAATCCTCAAATTATTCATCAAGCAAAAGCCGTCTAGAGTCCACGTTCAGTAGTCTGGTTTACCTACCTTCAAGCACCGGTTAACTTTATCAGACTGTTCTCGCGAAAGTTCAGCTGGGGACGATGGGATTCATGGGAGGTTCCTAAGACCCGGGCCTGAACTCACTGGCTCTCCCCCCAAAACACCCCTGTTCCTGTGCCCCCCCCCCCAACCTGCCTCCTTATGACAGGCTTCAGCAGAGAAAGTAACAGAGAGGCTCCTTCTTTTTAACTGGTGCCAAGAGGGTTCTGAGTTCAAATTACCATCCTGTGCTTATCCCTGACACTTGCTGGGAATAATGGAACTCCCGAATGAAATGAGTAGGGCACCTGCCCTCCAAACCAAATCCAAGCAAAGGTGTGGCGTTTTTTTCCGATTATTCGAAGCGGCGTTTCACAAGCTAAGCTATTTTAAGATAAGTGGACTTCAACTCCCAGAATTCCCCAGCCAGCAAAGAATTCTGGGAGTTGGAAGACCAGAACATCTTTTAAAAGGTTGCCAAGGCTGGAAAAAAAAAAATTGTGGGTAACTCAAAAAAGGAGGGCAACGTTTACAAAAATGTTAGGCCAATACAACAAGTCTTCTCTCACGTCCAGCTCAAACTAATTTAGATGGAAAGGCCCTCACTTCCCATCCTTCTTTCCTTATTTATTTCAAATTACGGATCCCGTTTCTAAATTTTAAATTCTAAAAATTTAAATGGCTAATTTTTATTTGTATTGGGGATGCCATTTCTAAACGCCGATGGGAAACGAACCCAGGGGTGTTTATGGAAAAGGTGTTTCTCACTTTTTTATCCTTTTATTGTTTCACAGTAATAGAGAAGGGCAATTAATTTCAATTGTTAGAACAAATTAATCCATGGAACAAATTGCCTCCAGAAGTTATGAATGCTCCAAAACTGGAAGTTTTTAAGAAGATGTTGGATAACCATTTGTCTGAAGCAGGGGGTTGGACTAGAGGACCTCCAAGGTCCCTTCCAACTCTATTATTCTATTCTATTTTCCGAAGTTACGCTGGCACTGAAAAATGTGACTTGTGACGGTTTTTCACAGCTACAACCTTTGCAGCATCCCCATGATCAGGTGATCAAAATTCAGATGCTTGGCAACTGATTCATACTTATGACGGTCGCAGTGTCCCGGGGGTCACATGATCCCCTTTTGCCACCTTCTGACAAGCAAAGTCCGTGGGGAAGCCAGATTCGCTTAACAACGGGGTCACTAATTTAACAACTGCCATGATTCACTTAACGAACGTAGCCAGGAAAGTCGTAAAATGGGGCAAAATTCACTTAAAAAACGTCTCACTTGGCCACAGAAATTTTAGGCTCAATTGTGGTCGCAAGTCAGGGACTTCCTGTATTTCGTCCATTCCCAACTCTTAAAATATTCCAGTTTAGAGGGAGAATGAGAGAGGCCCAAGCTAATTTTTCACGCATGTTAGTTAACGTGGTGGTGGGATTATTACACAATTAATTCTGCTTTGAACCTGTGCTATAGACTTAGATTAGTCTTTTGTGCTGAATTCCATTGTTCCCAATTTACACACCTGCCAATAATCCCATTACTGTATTCTGGGTTTGTTCTTTTTACTATTTAATTGGGAAGGTTTGAAAAGGAAAGAGGAGGTCAGCCTGTTTTAAGTAGGTTTTCTTTAAAAACAAAAACTCTTCGGCATCACAAGTACAGGGCTTCTCCTGCTTCAAAACTGGGACAAGTCAATTATTCCAATCAAAGACAATCAAATTGTCATAAATCCTCTTCAAGGATAGACAGTGCAGTGCCGAAAATTATCCAATTTATGTTGGATTTGTTGTTTTCCTGCAGAGAGGCTACCTATTTTGGAGGCTGGGAGAAGGCGCGTGTGATAAGACTATATAATTTGAGGTATGAAATCCAACTTTCAATTCCTCTTCGGTAATTCAATTTATTTTGCCCCAGGTGATCACACAGTCCTGGAGCTGGGTAGAATCTCAAAGCCATCTAGTGAAGGGCGTGGCACGACAAAACCACGCTCGACTAAAGCGCGCCCGATTAAACCGCGTTGCTGACGTCATCAAC